CCCCCCAAACTCAATTAGCCCCCCCCTAAAATGTTGGCTGGATCCGCCCTTGCCTTAGACTTTTGCTGCTTTCTCGATCGAGGTACGGCCCAAATTCATGAACGTTAGTTAATACTAATTCACTGTCCTGACCCTCCTTAGTTAGCGTTTTCAGGTCCCACAGCTATAAATTTAGTTAGGCATTGTAGTACCCTTGACGGTCGGTCAAGTATCCATAAATTTTAAAAGTCAGTTAAATATATTAATAGAGGTAATTTACCAGCCATGCAGGACGAGGTCCGGATAGGAAAAAAAAATCTGTACCAAAGGTCTTAAAGGGAGGTTTACCTTTTTGAGTGTGCATTGTATATTATACTTTTATATTTTATATTTTTTTTGACAAGTAACCAAAAATCTCTGAAAGGCAGGGGTCATCCCCGTCTATTATATTGTCACTGAAATAGTTTTTTTTTTATTATTATTATTTTCCTTATTTTAGTTTTATTGAGAGTTTACGATTTTGTATTAAAATTTATGTAATTCTTTACAAAATTGCATGCAAATAAAACAATAATAGAATTTAAAAAAAAGTTACACAGTTGTAAGATATGCAGATATATGGTCAGTTAGTATGGCTCAAGCTTACCCCTCCCCAGGTTCCATTAATGGTTTCAGAAAACCATAAAACAAATATTGAATTCATGATTTCTTCTAAGAATATGTTGAAAAACAAAGATTTCACCTCAATCTCACCACAGGTGAAATTTTTAAATGCAAAGACAAAATCTCAACACCCTTCTCACAATCCTCAAACAAAATTAGCAATACCCCCAAGCAAGATGCAGCTTCTTTGATACCAAAAATGTTTTATCCCCCCCCCCCCCCCTTTTCTGATTAAAGAAAATCAAATTCCCCTTTTTCTTGTAAGTTTTTTCCTTCAATCCTCCCACAATTTCACCTGCCCCCCCCCCAAATCTGCCATACATTATGAATGCACCCTAAATGCTTATTATCCTGAAAACAAGCTTGGGACATCCTAGTTTTCTTTTCATATTTGGAACCAGCAAAAAATTATAGTTTAAAAAAAGTTTAATTTTTTTCCAAGATTAGCCGGTTACCTTAACCCGAACCTGTACCAAACCCCAGATTTTGATATAAGAGCTTCAAAATCTGCTGAGTTCCCATTTTTCTTACTGAACAAGAATGGTACCCTCAGACACAATGCTCAGGGACACAAGTGGGAATATGCTCTTCAAGGAAATTAGTTCCCAGAACCTCTGTAACCAAGTAGCTAATGCCCTATCCCCTCACCACTCCAATAGCATACAAAGAATGATTCTTGTAATCATTCATCAGGTGAATATAAGTCTCATGATACAAGTCTTTAGTAAAGTGCGAACATTTCCTTCCCTCTTGGTTGGGAAGAGACATGTGAGAAATTATATTTACCTCTTATTAATCTTTAAATCTTATTACTTCTTGAGGCAATTTCAATACTTTCCTCCATGCTCAGTCATCCATGCACATTTTTTGTTGTTAAAACAATGAAAACTGCTGTTTAGTGAGGAAAAGCACTGTTGACTCAGGCTAAGTATTTGTTAATTTCAATATTGCTGAATTTCAAGGATTTATTCACAATAGAAATAACTAAAAGACACAGCAGCCAAACTGGATGATATAAATAAAAAGAAGACTGCTTTTGACAAATCATCTAACATTAAGGCTATGACAAACCAAGAACACAACCATTGGGTTTCAGTTTAATTTTATTTTTATTTTTTTAGAGTTAATGTTTGGTGGTTTATTGCACTTATAATTCTAATGGAAAATAATTAAACTTGTATGAAATTGTAGCAAAAAAAACAAACAGGGAACCTGGGATGCCTGTGGTAAAAGYTCCACAAGTTCCACCGGAAATGACATCTATTGATCTAAGCAGATTTACCCACCCCTCCCCTCTCCTCCCCTCTCCTCCCCTCCCCTTTAAGAAAAATGTAATTGGTTTGAGTCCATAGTTTATATAAATATGAAATCCGTAATATCTACTACTGATATTATACATTTAATACTCGAAGAGTAGTAGTGAAAAACGGTTAATAGAGTGATTGCCATATGACCGTGAAAGAATAGGCAAACTAATAGTTAGTAGTAGACTCTAAACCAATGATTTTCTTTTGTTCTTTATCAACTATTACAAACTAAATGGTCTATTTTCTTTCACGGTCATATGGCAATCACTCTATATGACCGTAATATTTAACTGATATTATGGCATACCAGTGTCAAGGTGTGTAAAGTTGCCATTCAAGTCAAAATTGCTGAGTTACAACTGCAACTATCGTTACAACATTATTTAGAAAAACAATAATATTTCCAAACAAAACTGAAATTCTTCAGTGGTAAATGTAACTTAATCCTATAACTTGATACCAGATCAAGAAGTTCAAGAACTAGGGAGACACAGTGATTTAAGTCCGTCTCAAATTCCTTTTTGACTGTTCCTAATCTTCGTGACGTTGGAAATATCTTTATACGACTTTGGAGCTTCAGTTCGTATACATATTTAACTAAACTTGGCAATTTTATCGAATAAAATGAATTAGAAATGCACTAGGATGCATATAATGATAGCGGGAAGACTGCTTGAAAAGATATCAGGACTGTGAGGATCGATTTGATTGTATCAAGAGTAGAGAACTGACCGTGAATTTATACCTAAGGCAATATTGAAAGTAATTGTGGTTTTTCGGCATTGTTAAGTGTTAAAGTAGTTTACGAAGAACAAAAAGCTATTGAAATAACAATAGAAAACAGTTGATATCTTACCTTGAGTTCGATGAAGTAGAAAAATAGCAAATATGACGCGGAAGTATACGTATCGACCATCGCTGCCAACCTCCATCGCTGCGAACTCCAAGGCGTTCTCTTCGCAACGACGTCAAACATCCGTTTATAAATAGACCTTGTCATGTCAGCCGCTTAATGCTACTTCCGGTCTGATCCTGAATGTTAACCGGGAGGGGGTATGAGGAAATACTTCTGTTAAGTAATTTCAATCTCTATTTTGACGAGTAAACTTTAAGCTGAAGATTTTAATGCTCATTTAGGAAGATGTAAACACAAAGCCTTTTAACGGGATATCTTGAAATAACGTTTTCTAGCAAGCCTGAGCACATTGTGTGAGCAAAGTTTATCAATCAGTGTGAAAGCGCTCAGACCGTCTTGAAGTTCTCAATTAAACTGTATTTAATTTATTTACATTTTTACTGTCTGTAAAGATGAAAATGCGATTCAATTTAAGGGTGAAATATTTTATAAAGCCGTCTGAATTGAAGTTATATGATTTTATGCATTTCTAATTGAGATATTGTGTTCTCACCGAGTAATGAAAGCCGGTTTTTACAACAACGAAAAATTCATGTCATATGTAAATTATATGAATGTATACTGACAAACTTGCATTGTTCAAGCCTAGCGGTAGATTAATAATAAAAGTCAGGGAAAATCCTCATGGTCGTAACCAGGGGGGAACACAGGGTGCACGTGCAC